CGGTTTGCCAATGTGTTTATGTCTTCTTGGAAAATATATGGTAGAAATAGCACTGTGAAATAAACAAATGCTGTAAGTTAAAAAGTCACACATAATTTAAAAGTATTTCCCTGTCAATACCGCAAATCTGATGCAACATACTTTTAAGAAGAAAACCCAGTGACCATGTTGCACTGTAATAGGTTCCTGAAAAAAGGGCAATAAACTGCACATAAAAAACTTACAAACAGCAAACAAGCTAATAATCACAAACAGCTAATTGTGCTCACACATTTGACTGGAGGGAAACTAATGAAAAAAAACACACACACGCACACACACACACACACACACACACACACCTTTCCATGCCCTGTTAAATAGCCTCTTCAGAGGGAACAGTAATGATTCAGCTCTCCTATCAGGAGGCTGCCCCAGATACCCAGCAGGTCTAAAGGACAGTCATTTGAATAAAATCAGGGCAGCAGAGTTGCATTTAAAGGACTAAAAATACACCAAAAAGTCACTCTGCCGCTGTTTCTAATGTGTATGGTAAAACTAACCACATCATTGTTTCCGTGTCGGACCACGAACACAAGCCCTGCACGCTGTCAGCTTATCCTCTGATGGATACAGTGTTCACTGGCGATCACTCATCTAATTTCATGCATGTGACAAAACCCGCCAAGTGGAAACAATAACATCAGGAAACAAAGCGCAGAGAATCTTATGAAACCACATTGATTTGGTTTTTCTCTTTTTTTACGCATCTCTCTGACTGATTGGATGTCAGTTTCTTATTTTTGGTGTGAGAGGGAAGAAGATGGGTAGCTTTTGCAAACTCTAACTCCTCTCTATGGGTGCCACATTAGACGGCATAGCACTTGAATGTAGCACATAATATTTTGTGCTCACAGAGAATTTATCCCCTGGCAGGTGGCTGCCAAACCTTTCCTCGATTTTTTTGGTTTGCAGCATAAAAAAATAACCTCTGAACTCATTAATATAAGCGTCGCTCAAACAAAGAAACAGCCTGGAGCTTGCACCGCTTGCATCACTATTCAATTTGTTGATTGATTCATTGATTTTCTTCCTCCAAACTCAGAACTGTTAGGGACTGGGGGAAATTGCCTACAAGGATTTATGACCTCATTCACATGAATGTGTTAGAGAGCCAATTTACATTTTAAATGGAATCATTACCTTTCCTTTCCCAGGATCAACAGACTGTTTATGAGTCGCCATAAACACAGACACGTTTAAGATGTTACCGTGGTGTAAATTTTATAGTGCTGTGGTGCACACCCACTCACTCCTGCAAGTCCACCACTCTGCCTCAAAATCGATTTGGCCTGGTTTTCCTGGTGCAGGTGTCTGACTAAGTCCTAAATTAAACTGGCAGACAAAAACTTGAATCGAGTTGAGATGTGAATCCAAAATGAACGCAGTTACACAGACTACACACAGTCTGCAGGTCTCTGAAGTGGTCAAGTCTTCTAAACATTTGGACTCACTGATGTTCAGGAGTTATCCTTGACCTTGAGCACAGTTGTTGACAAAACAATCTCACTTCAAGGTCCACTTAGTAACTGCTCTGACACTTTTGGTCATTTCACATTCTATTTGTCAGCAGATGAAATTCACTTAATTGTCATGAAATGGTAGCTAAGCACTTTTTTATGCTTTTACTATGGACAGTCAAGAGATGAAAGGAAGTGGAGAGAGAGAGAGGCTGGACAAGAGAAGCGGTGGTTCTGGCGTCTTAACCCCTAAGCTACAGGGGGCGCTCCTTCTTAGCACTTTAAGGACTTCATCCATCGGAAAAAGGGACTGGAGCACACTACTTGATTTGCAGCTTTTAGTGCAAACAGAGCAATATTTCGACTCTACTGAGTCTTCATCAGTACAATACAATGTACAAATGTTAATGGAGGATTTCAAATCAGGGTGGGAGAAGACCTTTTAATCCAGACTTTCCATCTGCGTTTGCATTGCGGGTCAATGTTGCAGATGAAAATCATTTGATGTGAGCTAAAGCTCCAGAGCAGCTAGTGAATGGACCTTACTGTGAGCTTGTTTTGTGAACATTTAAACACATCACACGATGACTTGATGCATCCTGTTTCTTTGCATTCTGAGCAGAAAAATGTTTTTCTGCAGACACTGGGCCATAGAGTCACTGTGGTGGCAAATCACATACTGCTTTTGTTTTTTACTCTTGTTCTTGCCAATGTTTTAACCAAGGTATTTAGCATTTATAAGCAGCATGTCAACACTTAGAGGTTTATTACACACTATAATGTGGCTGTAAGTACATATAAGGACATTTTAAGTGTTCATTTGTGTATTTATCTGTAACTGTAACTCCCCTACTGAAGCATCCATAAATGGTGTATGAACAGATAATAAACCTAGCTGGAATTATATTATGATACTCTCCCCATGAAGATAATTCCTACATGTGTATAAACACTTAATAAATGCTTTAATATGCACTGCTCATTAGAGGGTGGCACAGTGTATTATGAACCATTTATGAAGTGTTAATATACTGCCTATAAACTGTAAATACAGGGAGTGTGCCAGTAAACTGTATAAGGGTAAGTTTGTGTGTGTGTGTGTGTGTGTGTGCGTGCAAGAGAGAGAAGCAGCACAGTGATCCGTCATCAGTGGAAAGGTTGAGGAGTGGGAGGATGGCGAGCGAACCAGACCAGAGTTTTGATGGCAAGAGTGTGTCAGGAGGAGTGAAGTGTGGCAGTGAGTTAAGGTGTGAGTATGTGTGTAGTTTGGGCACTAAAAAGCATGTTTTATATTCTCTCTCTCTCTCTCTCTCTCTCTCTCTCTCTCTCACTCTCTCTCTCACACACACACACACACCCATCGTTTCCATGGATTTGTGTGAGAGGACCACTGTGCTCCTCAGCAATCCCATCATGTCTTTCTAGTGTTCGTGGCAGTTCATTATCTTCGAAAGACATAAGTCTGGAGGGGATCATGCGTTGGTTGTGTGTGTGTGTGTGTGTGTGTGTGTGTGTGTGTGTGTGTGTGTGTGTGTGTGTGTGTGTGTGTGTGTCATCTGTCAGCAGCTCTCGCATATACTGGAACCATCAGCCTAATTATTTTTATGCACATTTATGACTGTGTGCTCAAGGACTTCTCCTGGTTGCAGTGATTCACAATTTTTGAAAAACCTATTTTATTGACTGAGCCTATCGTAAAGCTTAGACTTTTGTCTTTTCAGCAGTATTCGTCATTTTACATAGCGACACAGCGAAACGCATTTCTGGGAATCAGCTAGGCTAGAAACAATTTGGGACAGTCCCGAATTATGAGCAGATGTCCCAAATGCCGCATCCTGTCCTGTTTGTCCCGAAAATTAGACTTAACCTGAGTTTTGATTAGTTATAGCCTAATGAAACATTTAATACTGATCGTCGTGAAACATTCTTTTGGTGTTGCCCACAGATGGGCGCTGTTTCTGCTCTCCACTGGCACTGCAGGGTATCGTGGACACTGTGTGAACAGTGTTGTTAGAGCCAAAACGTAGGCTAACATGCAGGTGTGCTCTTTTCCCCTTTTTGTTTTCTAGTGTAGATAAAGATAGTGGAAGTTGAAGTCGCAAGGACAGGGGATCTCACACGCAAACATGACACACTGGTGAAATGAATAAAATAAAACCTGATGTTCTAATGATCAAAAATAAAACATTTTACCATTGAATTTTGACTTTCACCTGTTTTGCTGTTCATTGACACTGAATGTAATGCACTGGAGGCCACACCCAAACCCAGTTCCCCTTTCCCGAATTTTACCCATGTGGTCATCTGGTCACCCTAGCAGCTGCGTCTCAAAAACTGACATCCTTAGAAAAGTTTGGTCTCAACTTGAACTGGAGCATCTGCAGATTAATCCCATACCTGATATGTTGTGATCCACCAAAATCATAGTTAAGGCACAGTAATAGATGAATAAATCCTCGTTTTTGTATTCTTCGACGCCATCTTGACAGTAAGGGAGCCTGGAGGGACAATTGAGTGAGATTCATCTCTTCTTTGGATGGGCGGGGAGAGGGATGTAGGGAGGGGTTTATTTAGTGTGCTGTGTTCCAACAAATGTTCTAAATAAATAAAAATGTCGAAATACAGGAATTTGGCCTTATCTTCTTATTTATTGTTTCTTTATTAGGTTTATAGGCCTTCTTAGACTTAATTAGGCAGTAGGCCCTACACTTACATATGCTACAATATAACATTAGACTATTCTTCTTAAAGAAAACTGAGACTATAATGTACAAAAACAATTTATTAAAAACACTGCATGCATCTGTACAGAAACACTGACTAGACACACCTGAGGGAGATCTGCACTCTGAGTTTGGGCTCTGTGGATACTAATGTCTAGTAATGATCAGTAGTCAACAAATGTTTATACAATATTCTAGTTTTCACACTGACAGACGTGTTAATCAGCTCAGGTCACTCCGCTTGTAAATGTGTGCGCAGCAGCTTATAGTACCTGCCTGAAATGCGATTCAAAAGGTCAGCTTGGCTCACATCAAACACACACACACACACACACACACACACACACACACACACACACACCTTTGCTTTTTTGCTTTAAGAGACAGATAACAACATAGTTTGTTACAGGTCAATTTAGCCCCACTAACATGAATTAATCCACATGCAACTGCCTGGTTTGGACTCCTGTGAATTGTTCAAATCAGACTTTAACCCTTTATATTTGTTTCATTAGATGACAACACAGAAATGTCTGCAAACACAGCCAGCCTTTCCACAAATACAATAGACTACGCAACGTCTCGCAGCACTACCGCTTAAAATCTAAAGCCTATACAACACAGCTCCATGTAAGAATCTGAGACAGCAGCGTTTCACACACATGCCGCTGCAATCCGTCCATGGTTCGCAGAATTAGGCAATAAAATATAGCTCTGCCAGCTGCTGCTCCAGAATCCACGGAAACATCCCTCTGATTGCACATAAACATAAACTTACCCGCTGTGACTCGAGAGACGCAGAGACAGCTGAGGACGAGCAGGGAAAATCTCTCCATCTTTCTAACGCTGGGGCGACGTGCGGTCCCATTTACTCTGGCCGGGGGTGCTGTGTTAACCCGCCGGTGTGCTGGTGTGTTGTGCTGATCGGCATTCACGTCAGTTCATGCGTATCGTCTCGACTGGAAGAGGCACAATGACGGTCTGTCAGCCGCTTTTTCAGCACCTCGGACAGCAACACCTCCGCTCAATCAACAGCCAAGACCGTCCCCGAGCCACCGGCGACCGTCGACCAGCGACCAGCCAGGTGAGCATTATTATCGACTGGTCTCGTGCCTGGAGCCGCTCGCTCGCGTCGTTGGTCCTCAAAGTGTGCTCCAAAAAAACCCTCCCCGATCCGCTGCTGCTGCTGCTGCTGCTGCTGGAGATGCTGGAGGTGGTGCTCAGCGCCGCTCGGCTGCAGCAGACAGAGTGAAACGTGCTGGCTTTGTATATGAGCGCCTGCTGTCCCTGCCTGCCACACTAACTCCTGAAGAGCTCACGGTGAGAGAGGGAGGCTGCAAGACAGTCAAGACCAACTGGCTAAAAATCCATAAAAATACAAGTCACCAAATGTGGGGAAGAAACAGGAGTATAAAATGAAAGAGTTAGTTAGTATAGGCTAATTACAGGCCTATAATTCTGTTATAGGTTATTGTTATAGTAGCAGCCTTTGTCCATTTGTTGCTGTCTTCTGCCCTCTCCATCCCACATATTTCACATCACAAACGCAGAGACCAGAAACACTAACAGCTGTAATAATTCAATATTCAGACGTCTTCCAGGCCTCCAGAAACACAACACCGAGGGACGAGCCTTTCAAATGCAAACTTGTCACCTAAAGCCCTCTCCTTTGATCGAGCATGGCTACTTTCTCTCTCTCGCATCCTCCTGCATTACTTGTACACTTGGTGAGCCAGTACTGAATTACTGCTGCCCACTCATCGATTAAATATGCATACACTGGCCCACGCAAAACACTCGCCGGTGCAAAGATAAAGTATCTGCTTTCCACTGTTTTTTTCCACTGACTTTAACAGCCCCCCCTCCCGCGCGTGCGGGCGCGCTCACGTTGTTTCAGAAGCACTGAGAACGCCTGATGAAGCGGGTAGAGAAGTGGATAAAGTCTGCATACAGTACCTGATGGTTTCCCTGCAGCGGGCTGTGTAGGCTACTTGCAGCTTTCCGGGATAATTATATCTGTGTGTGTGGTGAGTGTAGTCCCCAGTCAGGAGACTGACACTGTCCCTCAGCTGTGTCCCCAAGAAGTGTTTTCTTCACCCCGCTGTGCACCTCGATTCACAGTCTGCTGCCACTGACGCGTGGTGGAGAGGTGACTGCTGGAGGTTTATGCATGCTTCACTCTCCTGTACTGCTTTCTCCCTCCATCTGTGTGTGTGCACAGAGAAGGAGAGAGAGGAAGAGAGTTTAGGGACACAGAAAGAGAAGCACTGGACCAAACACCTCTATCAGCACAATAATGCATGAGCAGCAGTGGTGAAGGAAGTATTCACATCCTTTACTTGACTTTAAGTTGTAATAATGTAAAAATACTCTTTTACAGGTTAAAGTCCTACACTGGAAAAGTATGTTCTAAACGTATCATTAGCAAAATATACTGTTCCTTTCAGTGTTATACTACTATAGGTTACAATTGCTGAGAAATGTGTGTGTGTAATAGTTTATTTTAACAATGTCATATACTCTTATGTAGTTTAATCTGTACCACTGCAATATACTGATCATATGTACAGTCTTAGCTACTTCTTGAGCTTCTTCAGCAAAATGTTGCCCTTCACTGAGGCAATGTAAAAGCCAACCTACCATATAATTTCAGGGGGTTTGGGAACAAATCTAACATTTTCTTAACATATTTTTCTCAGAGTACATTCTTCAGAATCATCTTTGGACATGTTCAAATCCTGTGGAAGTCTGAAAATAAGCTGCACACTATACTGACAGCTTCCAGTATATTTAAAGGAACAGAGCAACATTTTTGATCCAGATCTTCGTCAGGCACTGTCAAGTAAACACAACAAGCGATATATAAAAAACAAAAACACACTTCAGCTGTTTTTTATCTGCATATTAAAGAGTCAATCTATTCTGTTAATATAGAAATATAGATGTTCCTGTATAGCAATAGGGTTGCAACAAAGTGATAAAACTGTAGTGCACAATGCTCCCCCTAAACCAGAATCTATGCCACTCTTTCATACATACATTAAGTGACCCTCAGGATGATGGTGTGTGAAAGAGGAGGTCAGAATCTAATTACACACAGAAACCTCTTTCTGTAGGATCCTTTGCACATTAAGAGTCCAGCTTCAAAAGCCTCTGCCATAAACCAAGAAACCAAGTAGACCCCAAGACTGTTTCCCTCCAAAAGCTGCACACACTAAGCCTGAAGTATCAGAAAACCTACTTCTGAATGCATTAGAATGTTTCTTGTATGTTCATGTTACTAAAATGTGGTATTTAAATGATATATCTGATTTATATTGCAACAGTGATAATTAAGGTCAGAATAACTTACCTTTCCACTGTGCTTGACATATCATGTTTGACGTCTTTTAAAAGCACAAATAACCTGGTACAACATGATATGTCCACATTTGACAAAAGGAACATCTTACAAAAGAGGTGTGTTCACTCCAAGACACCCCATTCTTTAACCCAAATCTGTAATTGGTTTGGACATCCATTGTCCACTCTCTCCCTCTCATCTATGCCACTCTTCTGCTTCTATGCTCAGAAATCTTGGCTTCATGCCTTGCTGCCTTTTCTCCTGAATGGAATTAAAAAACTGGAGCTGAAGTAGTGAAACAACAACAAAGACTTTTCAAGCCTGCACCATGTCTGCCACAGTGTTTGTCTGGTCAAATGAACCAGGCTGCCCAATACTAAACCATCTACAGCAGAGACCCATTCTCTCCCTTTCCCCTGTGGGCCTGACCCCTTCAGCTCTCCTACAATGCGCTGTGGTTGTTATTAGAAATAGTCCATCCAGACCACAGCAGAGTGAGTGGAGAGTCTACTTCTGGTAGAGTGGAAATGCCAGTAATTCGAAAGAAATAAAAGTCTAAACTTCTACTAAGGTAGAAATATTGATGAACTGATAAACACAAAACAGAAAAGTGCAGTTGTAACGGACTTTAATCATGAAGAATTAATTTTAATGTATATGAAACGTGACTTAACCATCACATAAGCTACACTGGCGATAAATTGCAGTAGGATCATTCACTGTCAGTTTCACGTGTCATGAGCAGTGTTGGGGTAGTTACTCAAGTTACAAGTTACTTTTTAAAAAGTAATACTTACTTTACTAGATTACTCACTGCTGAAAGTAACTAGTTACACTACTAGCTACATTACTTTTGGATTACTGCGTAACATCACCTGCGATGCACAATAACTGCCAAATAACAAGTTATATGCTCAGATAAACACAAATCCTTATTATAATGAGAACAAAGACATCTCTCTTTTATGCTCTTTAATATTACAAAGCTGACAACAAAGCTGTGAACATCAGCCCAACATTTGTCAAGAGAAGAACAAGGCTACAGTACAGTTCTATAATGCTTAGAACTTAATTGGCATTTCATTGGAAACATTTATTTTTTAAATAATTAATTTCATTACAATACAACATAACTTAAAATAGATTGTCCTTCCAACCATCTAGTGAAAATATTAATTTGTTGAAAATAATGTTGAAAAAGTGTGTTATTGTATTAGTGTATAAGTAAGCACATGTGAGCATTCAGTGTTTAACAAAAAACACAGTGAGCATTGTAATCCAAAGTCACATACCTGGCGAATAAAACTGATTCTGATTTCCAAAAAAAACCAAGACACTGGCCCTCATCACAATATCAGATGATGGTGAGGCTTCAAAGGAAAAACTTAGCATATGTAATTGTTAAAAAGGCCAGCAACACATGGAACCTTCCACCCCCTATCTTCAAGTGGTACTTTCCGCCCCCCTCTTAGAGTGGTATGTTCCGTCTGCCTTTGTTTCCGACTGTTGTGTGCATCCATTGAACTGTAAGTACGTTAAGTCTCATATTATTATAGTTTCGGTAGAGTCTTCCCCTTTTCAGTAATGTAATTTGTACTGTGCAGTTAACAGACCAAACCCGCACAACAAACTTACTGTACCTCACTTGCCAAACTATGGCTTTAAAGTAGATTTTTACCACTTACTGGACACGCCAAACAAATAAGTGTTTATACCTGATGAGCAGGAGTCTCTCAAATCGTTTGTCAGACAATCTGTTCCCCATCGGAGACTGCCCAGGCTAAAGAGTCTCGCCACAGATGCACTAGTGTGAAGGTATTTTTGTGTCTTTTTAATGCAAGCAAAAAAAATGTTTTGAGAGCATATTTATCGCACTGAAATAAAAAATCAAGTTTGTAATTAAAAATAAACAGGCCTTTTTTGTGTCACAAAAAGTTTTAATTGCTAATATGTCCTCTTTGATTTCAAGTCAAAACATTTTCCTTGCCAGTCAGAAAGTTTTGCAGATTAAACCTGCAAGTGAGAGAGTTTTGCGAGTCAAAAATGGTCAAAATAAGAGATTCTATTGGTGGGTTTGACTGACCAATCATGGGTTAGCATTGACTGCATGGCCACGACCACAATCCCCTCACTCAGACGGCTCCGAGCAGCATTCAGCTCTACTGAAGATGGAGTTGTAATGTGTACAGGCTAGATAGATATGCTATATGAATGATTATTTATATTTACCGTCGGCAAGGCCACGGAGTCTATCGCTGTCTCCTTTTTTAGAATGACACAAAAATACCTTCATACACTAGAGGGTATTGCTGTGCTTTCGTGAAACTAATACAATACTTCCACCCCTCCAAAGACGTCTTTAGTAGCTCTGCCATTTCTGCATCCTCATGAAATGGCGCTAAAGTCAAAAGTGAGGTGAAGAAAAGTGTTACGCAAACACGCACGTTTGATTTATTTTTCTCTCCTCCCATTATGCGAATAGTTGAAGAACCAGTAGGCAAGTATCGTGATGATTTTGTTATTAGTAACTGTAATGTGATTACTGAAGTTATCAACAGTAACCCTTACCCAACACTGGTCACGAGTTTCACATGTGCCCCACCAAGGATGAGGACTTTTCATCACTCGCTATTCTGACTTTGTGTGGACAAAAACAACAGGTGCTTAGGGCATCAGCTATGAGTATTAAATGCGTGGTGCAGATATGGCTGATATCCAGACTGAGGAATAACGAGGAACCAAAATCACATGTCTATGGTGAGTCCTTGTTTCTATTTTAAAAGAACGGAAAGGGAGTTTTATCTGATATCTTTGGGGTAGAAAATAGAACCAAAATGCAGGACCTGACTCATTGTAGGCTACAAAAATATATTGGCACTGAAAGCTGTTTCTAACAGAGATGAACTGTGTGACATTTCTAGAGTACATTCCAGTTGCAGAGTTGTGTAAGAGCCAGTGAGCCCTGACCCATGTGTCCTATTGTGGTAAGTGCCATTGTTCTTCTAGTGGAACTGACGTACATGCCGGACACTGCCGTTGATAAGAATTGGCCTTGAGAAACAGATTCCTAACATTTGTAACAGATTGCTAACATTTGTAACACCAAATATCCAGTAAGAAAACATCGCCGGATGATGAGTGATGCATTAAGATCTCTCAGGATTGGCTGACCTTTGCAGAAAAGGTGACACCAACATATACATTACATTTATTGATTTAGCTGACACTTTTATCCAAAGAGACATACAATTGCTGGAGCAACTAGGGGTTAAGTGTCTTGCTCAGGGACACAGTGGTGGATGTGTCACAGTGGGAATTTGAACACAGGTCTGTCGCATTGCAAAAGGTTAAGGTAGGTTTGGAAAAAAATGCTGTCA